GGGGCATTTTTTTTTGTATGTACCTCCTAGTCCTAATTTGCAACTCGGGAAAATGAAGCTGCAGGACACTCAGATTTCGCTTCATTAGCACAATAAATAATTGCAGCAAAGACAAAAATATGAAGACTTCACTGTCAAGTAGCAAATGAAGAAGTTGTTTCCCTTGCAATCTGACTTAGAATTCTGTTTACAGAGCAAAGAAAGCCATCAGATCTGAAAACCAATTGGAGTACAACGTTCCAACAACTATCATTAGAAGTCACAACACATTCCAAAGAGGCCAATATGAAATAGAATTACTGTCATATTACTATGGTCTCCAGGACTACTTCAGTGACATTCTGGCTACTTAAAACTCTGAGGGATAATGTCTGCTCTGTATTAAGCTGAGATCCTCAATTGAAATTTTAGAGAACAACAGCCAAGAAAAGTGCCTGATGCAAAACATACAATCTAAAGAGATGGTCATGTTAATTTAGACTTGGTTATATTTCCATATCAGAGCTGCATAGTGAAAAAGAATGCCTCCATACAAAGCACACGCACTTTTCTTACATGACAGAACACTGTTTTGCAAGATAACATCCTCTAAGCTCGTAAAAAAGAACTCTTCACTTAAATCACAGTCAAAACAAGACAACTGTGTAAGAGTCCTATTGATGGCTCCAGAAATCACCAGAAACAACGACCGCTAGAAAAGCAGATTTCCCTTATTGTACAAGCAGCAAGACCTGTACAATGAGAAGATGTTACAAAAAGAAGAATGCTCACCCATCTCCAAAAATCTAGGCTTGCAGAAAAACTCCACAAGGGAAGAAACACCAGCAAGGGATCCTTCCCCAGTCTCAGTCAGCCCTTAAATGAGGTTCAAGAGAGGTGGAGCCAGACTCCACCCCTTCCAATCACACAGGTGAATTACCTCCATCTGTGCTCCCAGGGCTGACTGGTTGTTTTCTTCCAGGTGCTCAATCAGTGGTTCAGGCCGAGACTCCGCAGTTCCTATACGTTTATGTATTCAGAGAACTTATAACTTAGCAGGTAGAAAAGCAATGTATTACTGCCAAGATACCTGCACAGTGTTTGAGTTCCACAACTGCTATTTCTCATACAGCTTACTGCTGTATGATGCCATATGTGACCTCCAGGCAGCATATAATCAGTGTCAGTTTCAAATACAACTAGCAGTTTGTAAAAGGCATGTCACGAAAACTTTTAATGGAGACCACTCTAAGCACTTGAAATATATATGCCTTAAACAGATGCATTTTGGGAAAAAGAGATCCAGAAGCCCAAAAACTATTAGATTCTAAACCTCAGTGTTTTCTGAACAAACTGTCAAACTAGAGATACAGTGTAGAAAATAACTCATGCCAATTTTCTAGGGTCACTTTAAAATTTGAAGAAGAAGTTTCCTTTAAAAAATTCAAATTAAAACCTAATAATCAGAAGCACAGAAATGTCTGCTGAACAATTATATAACACAAACAATATTAATTGCATTATCCTGTTTGTGGAATCTGCAAAAACAATGCGCTCCAAAACTTCAGAAAAGTTAAATGTAAAATACTTCTTGCATATTGTCAGTCCAACAGAAACCAACTTATTACAGTATTTGTTAGAGCCTGGTTGCAATTAAATACAGGAAGGATATTAAAACTTCCAAGAGATTTTTTTTTTTTTCAAGCCACAACAGAAGAAAAGGCGCAATTGCATAATTGGAACCAAATCCAAAACCCACTTCCTTCTTATTTACTAGCATCATCTAAAGGACACCATTTAGATGCTGACGCTGAAAGGTCTGGAGCTGACAACTGTAAATCATCTGAAAGTCAAAAGTTTCAAAGGAATTGTATGACACGGGTTAAAAGTTTATAGATGATAGATACAGAAAGTTAGTGCTCACTGCAAAACCGCATCCCAGTGGTCACTGCATCTCCTCAGTAAAATTCTAGAATTCTGTTTTGCTGCACAGAAAGAAATTTTCTTTTATAGTCACAGACTGGCATAGAGCAATTGGACACAACTGTCTGACATGTAACATTTGAAATAAATGTCTTTTTAAGATATTCTAACAATAACAATTTTAAGAGACCAGGATTTCATTTATCAGATACTGTTTCTGTACGAACCAGAAAAATAACGAACAAACTTGCCACTCAGAGGGAAAGTTCTTTAAAAAGTGTAACTGATAGCTGAATTCACTTCATGCCCTTTGTCATTAGCATATCTGTGCAGAAAATTAACATCAAAAGCAACACCCTACAAAAAAAAAAAAAAAAAAAAAAAAAAAAGAAAGCCACTTGCCTTTCTATAAAGCATGTAGAAAAGTGACAGCAGAGACACAATTGGTCGTGCACATACTTAGGGCTTTTCCTATAAAATGATCCAAATGTGGGTCAGGGATTTCAATCTATTTCAGAACTTTAACTCCTAGAGGTTGTTTTTCTCTTTTTCTTTCTTCTTTTTTTTCCCCTTTCCCCTTCACCCCCAGCTAGATCAGGCTGCCCAGAGCACCATCCAGCCTGACATTCAATACTTCCAGAGATGGGGCATCCATAACTTCTCTGGGCAGCCTGCTCCAATGCCTCACCACCAGTGAATAATTTATTCCTCATACCTAATCTAAATACACCCTCTTTTAATTTAAAGCCATTACCTCTTGTCGTATCACTACCCTCCCTAAGTCTCCTGCTTTCCCGTAGGCTCCCTTTAAGTAGTGGAAGGCAGCAACAATGACTTCTGAAAGCCCTTAATAACGCTCAAGGAATATATTATACACTTATTATAGAGAGATAGATATTATTTATAGACAGGTATTATTTATAAGATACTTTATATGTTCATATACGCTCATATATATATATATTTATATATGTAGTCTTGAGTCAGAATTCCCAGTTGAGGTGAAAGGATGGACAAAAGGATAAGCATATTAGCTCAGTGCATGAAACACTGACAGAAGCAACAAGTTTCATATACGTCCCTGCTCTCCTAACTGAATAGCAGGACATTACAGCAGCACTTTCGCTCAACACACAGGAAAAAAGATTTTTTCTCACTAAAAATGACCATACTCCAGTGAAACTCACACTGAAGGAGAAGCAGCATTTCTTTGGCAATGACGTCACACAATCAACAGCAACAAGAGCAAACTAAAAATCTACAGTTTCAGGTTCCTTGTTTTGATGGTACCTGTGAGAGATCCCAAAGACTCACACTTTTAAAGACTCAACACACAAGGAAGACCTTGCGTTAGATATCTCAGCTTGGTATGTAAAACCATAACCTCTCTGAACAACCTGATTCTACCACAGTAATTGGTAGAATTATTAAAATATTACCAACAGAAGCATTATTACAATATTACCAACTAAAATATTACCAACAGAAGCATTGAGAGCAATTTTTCTTACACTGATTACTTAGATTTTTTCCTACTGGTTCTTTTCTCATCTTTGATGACACTGACCCTTCAAGATTTACAAGTAAAAATAGTTTTTGGTTTTTTTTAAAAAGAAGAAGAAAAAGAAGAAAACAAACCAGGATAACTAGAACTCTAGATGTTCCCAGGGAGACTTGTCTGTCAGCTGCATTTTTCTACACCTATTTTAACATGTTTTCAATGGGATTGATCACATTGGTTTGTTTCCTACTCCAAAATCTCATCCAAAAATAATTTTCTCCAATTAAATAAATGTTCTCCTTAAAGTCTTAGGCGAACATCCTAGAGCAAATTTTGGACCAGGGTAAGGTTATCTTATACAAAATACGTATTTTCTGATTAACAATTTACAAATGTAGTCTATTACAAAATATCAACACATTTCAGTTTAGTGTACCCAACTTTGAGGGAAAAAAAGAAACATTTATTTGGCAATTAGAATGCCATGTATGGAATTACTCTTTAATAACTTTTATAGAAATACAATTTAATAACAAGTACAGAATAAAATAATATATAAAAAGTATACATATAAACATCCCTTCACCATTTTGTACTTCTTCAGCTAAGCACATAAGGGCCAAAAATCACATATCATGCACACTTTGTTCACTTTGTTTTGTGAACACACAGATATCTGAGTGTTCATTCCCTCTCATTTATATGCCAATTAGTGGCATAAAGGATAATGTGAAATATCACAAAGATAGAGCGCTTTTTTTTTTTTGCACAGCCAAAGCTGCCTTAAACAAAATAATTCCAAGGGCAACTGTGCTGACAAAGCTGACAAAGGATGAATTAGGAGTTGCACCAACACATAGCCTCATTTCTTTCTACTTCCAGCATTTGATAAAATGCCAAATAATAATCCAGAAGAGTCCATTAAAAGCCAAACAACAGCAGAAGAAAGAATCATGACATAACTGATGTTCAAATGGCAATTTCAAGTTCTCATGATTAGTTGTATATGATACAGCTGTCATCACGTCTCTGTCTTTCCAATTTTGATGAGATTTTTCTACAGCGGCCTAGAGAAAATACTGCGTATTCACACTTATTTTATTCTCTAATTTCCAGAGTCAGTAGGCAGACTTCTCAGATTAGATTACTTTTACATTTCAGTGATCCTTGATTACTTGACAATTTTGGTCAATTTTGTTCAAGCCATTCAATCACTCTGCTAGTTTCATGGCCCAGTGCCAAGTCCTCCTTTCCAATGGTGGTTTCACCATTTACACTCGTCTTTCTTCAACCCCCTACTACAACTGCTTGCTATCTCTGCATGATCAAAGGCTTGATTAAACTGTTTTAAAAGAACATGGAGGTCTTCTCTAAAAATTGGAAAACAGACATACTGCTGTAATAACTATAACCATGTCATATGAAATGGGCACTGCCAGAGTGGCATAATGAGGAAGTTGTCACTGACACAATTTATTTTCATTAGTATCATCATAAATTATACTTATTAATTTGCATTAATTTATATCAAAATATTGGATTTCAGTTCAAACACCTTAACAACTAAAAGTAGTTCGTTTGTTTTTTAAATTCTTACCTGAGATGACAAGAGATTGCAGTCAATGTGCATTCCTTTCCCCGTCTTATGCTTCTGAAGCAAGCCAGCCATAATTGCTCCACATGTATACAAGCCAGTAGCAAGATCTGTCATGGCTACTCCTACTCTAACTGGTTCACCACCCTAAAGAAAAGGAAGGCAACACTCCAAATGAAATAAAAATAAACAGAAAGCAAATAGAAAAGAAAGGAAAAGGAAGAAGAAGGAATAAGCAAAGCATTAGTTTGTTTTAGTACATGCCACATAATTCTTATCATAAAAAGCGTTTACATGTTTCCTCATCACAAGCAACAATAGATAAAAGCATCTTTGAGTGAACCAAAACATAAAGGCTACCCTTGAAAAAGAGGTATTCTTGCAGTATTTACACAATCCCATGCATCAAGATGTTGCAAAACCTGTAAACTGTAAATTCTTTTCTACACTACTTCTTGCTCTATTCTGATCAATACTTCAACACACAAATGCTCAGAGGACAGAGATACTGTTAGAGACAACAAAACAGAAGCCAAAGGTCTAAGGATTTCCACAGCACATATTTTCACAGTTTCCTCTTACAGAACTCTCCTATACTTAACAAGTCAAACTACTATATTGCTATGTTATTTTTAACACAGCAGACATATTTCTGCAGCAGTTTGCACAATTTCCACTCTTCCTCAGTGTGCCTAATAAGATAGTTCAACAACTATCATCCCCCTTCTCCCCTAAATCAGATTCTAATGTCCACCTGTGCCTTTCTGTGACAGGATGCATTCTCTAACTAATGTGAAATAGATTCATTTACATTTTCATATCTGTCCTGTGGAACAAGAGATAGGAAGCTGCTTTATGTGAACAGTGAAGCTTCACATAAAGTGCTTGAACATACAGAAGCTCACTCCAGTGCCTTGCTGTTGCAAACTTGCCACTAGTTTACACTTTTATTCACGATCACCTCAATGTATTCTGGAAGATTCCTTTCCTGATTTTTTTTTTTTTTTTTTTTTTGCCCTTTGACATAACTTCTCTTCCCAGTTTTACATCAGTGCTACAAAAAGTGATCCACTATAACTGGAAATTGGTTTGAAATGACATGTACAGTAAAAGTATTAATAAAAGTCCAGTAGTCCTTACAGAATGGAAATAACTTGCTGCAGCTAATATTAACCAGCGAGGGCTATATTTTTTTTTCAACAGCTCTGAACTATATACTACGTGTACTCTTTTGTAGTCATTTGTTTTTAAGCTGAAGAATGGCCCCTCTGGTACTGTAGATTCTAATCATGTTTTGCTGTCTAGTGTCCAGTAAAATAAAAAATGCTGCTTCAACAAGAAAAAATGCTTACTGAATACGCCGCAGCACCATAAAGCTACCTAGCACTGAATGCAGTGATCCACTTGGAGATGTAAAGGGCACTTGTATCCAAGTTGTTTTTATTTAAGTTCAAATTATTGCCCCCATGAGTTTCATGACATTTTCAAAGCAATATTCATTTGACGCTGAATATGTTAAAGCAAAAGCTTTCTGTTCATCAAATAAGAAACTTGAATGTGGTGGTTAACCAATAAAGTTATGTCTTCCAGGGCATAATTTATGTCCTGGAATAATAATTTATTTATAATAAATTATAAATTATGTCTTCCAGGACAATAAAATTGTCATCGGTATGAACTCAGTCCTTTTTGCATATTTTAATTTACAGTTTAAAAAAAAAAAAATAATAACTGAATCTGGCCAGAAGCAGCAAATTTCATTTCAAAATGAATCTCTGGTACAGATTTATACAAAATGGGTATAAAGTTTTCATACACACTAGAATCTCAAATTCCACAGGTGTCATAGCACTTCTGATACAGAGGTAATCGAGTACAGATGTATGAGTTGGAACTCCATGCAGATTTCCTTATCTGCACATAAAAACACGATTTAAAGATAGCATTCTACAGTAGATAAATTTGGTTCAGTCAACAAAAGCACAAGTACAGCTGTTTGTGCCTTTAACTCTTCAATATTGCAAAAGCTACAGTTCGATTTCAAGGTTCACAAGAGAACTCTACTTGAAAGCCTTTCAAAACAGCCAGCATTAAGTGATTTCAATTACAGTAACTTCTTAGGAAAAATGCAAAAAAGGCAAGATTCTCAAAATTTCCTCACGTTGGAATCTTTTCTCATTTCTCAAAAAATCAGGTGAAAAATGCACAAATCTTGCACTCCATTCAACAGTTCTATTCCATGTGTTAAACGTGATATTACTGTGTACTTTTGGCCCTTTCCACTTTAATATCACATTTTTAATTATTTCACTACCTAAAATATAACTTGGAAAAAAATAAACATTTCCACTGTGATCTACTGCCTCAAAGTAAGTGTTATACACAGTATTGCAGGAAATGTTATGTACGTGATCAAATTAATGAAGGTTTAAGCTTTACTCAAATTCCTGTACTAGTAATACAGAGATTTCATAGTGTAATACTGAGAGTTACTGTATAGAAGCACAGCTGCTCAGTATTCAATAAAAGTCAACAGCAGCAGCAAACTGTCTTAGAAATTAAATCAGTAGCCAGATGGTTGAAATAGAGCAAAATTTGCAGTACTTAATTTCTCTAAAACGCAGTCCTTATTGCTATGAATTCTATCAATTTTAGAAATGTCAAGTACAGAACATAATTTTACTGTTCTATTGTTAAAATGCTTTGTGTGGTGCTGTAAATACAAGAGCTGCTATGAAAGTACTGCCTCTTATCCTATTACGATGGCCCACGATGTCAGAGGTGGTTGTTGGTGGCACGGCAGCAGAGGTTGACCCTTCCAGCAAATATTCTGTTACATTTTGTTGTCATAAACAGATGGCAGCAGAGGCAGTCTGACAAAATGACGTCCGACACAGAAGTGCATGCAAAGCAAAACTCTGTCACTGAATTCCTCCGTGCGGAAAAAATTGCATCCAATGGCACTCACTGATGCTTCCTGAATGTTTGTGGAGAGCAAACAGTGGATGTGAGCACAATGAGGTGTTGGGTGGAACGTTTCAGCAGTGGCAGAAGTGACAGTGGGCCACCTCCATTGGTGCAGATTTTGAGAAGCATGGCATGCAGGCTCTTGTTCACTGCTGGCAAAAATGAGTAGCTAATGGTGGTGACCATGTTGAAAAATACTGTTTTGTAGCTGAGAATTTGCTCTGTCAAGCAGAGTCATTTTGCTCTTTGTATCCGTTGTAGTTTCCATGGAAATAAATAAGAAGTATTACTTTCAGACCAATCTATCCACACATTAGTGTACCTTAAAATTAAGCAACTCACTGATGTACGTAGATGTCTTTTTTCTGCTCCCCAACTTTGTAGTTTGTCTACTACAGCTAAGAGCTCTAAGGCACTGAAAGCACACTACTCAGTTTGTCTATTAAAAAGAAGTTTCTGCAGAGCACTGTTATACTGATATTATTATGCTGATTAAGTACAGCTACTGCTAGACAACACAAAAACTTCATAACTTTTCTTTCTTTCTTCATCAGTTTTAAACACATTTTCAATTTACTGTAAAAAAAAAAATAAAAGAAAAAAATTGTAATCTAGTTTACTAGGGTATGCTCCAAAGGAACATGTTGCTTTAAGGACTTTAAGTATAAACTCTTGTTATTAAGCAAAAAATAATAGTTTAATATAAAAAAAAAAAAAAAAAGTGAGCAAAATTCTTTTTTCTTCTTTACTTTGGTCATTTCTCCACATATTGCCTGAAATAAGCTTTTGCTACATTTTTTCATAGCTGGCTCTGTTTAGAATTCAGAAATACTCAATTACATGCACAAATGTAGGACATGGGAGTTTTAGTTGAAAATAGTAAATTTTCAAGCAACCATACAGTATGATTTTAAAACTATTTTTGACAAATTTCACTATAACAAAAGGCACACACATCTTCAGAGCTACTGACCACTCAAGTCTTTGAAACAAAACTGTCCTCTGTACAACAAAAAATGCTTTATTCAGAAACTGATAAAATATGTGACCAACTGCAAAAGAAAAATCAATAATAAGGCATGTTTTAGCATGTTTATTTTAATCATGCCAGAGAATAACTAGATTTGAATTAACTGCTAAAAGTCCCTAGTGAATAGATGAAACTGTTACCAGCAATGATTACAGGATTTTTGCTTACACTGCCTCAATTCCAGGGGAGGCAATACCAACATCTGAATTTGCAGTGTAGATCTTAACACAATCTTTTAATTAAATCCATCTTCATAAGTGTTGCTCAGTAATACTGCTCTCATAGCACTTGCAGTTTCCATCACTCACATACCTAAAACCATTTTTCTCTGAGGTAAAGATACATATTCTATGTATTAGTGTAATCCAGATACTAAGCTACCCCTGTAATGCTTCCTGCACTGCTGTATGATCCAACAATCTTGGATATCAGTGGGAATAGCAGCACATAAAGCTTTTCCAGAGCCACTAATGGTATGTCCCTGCAAATTTTCTGGCGGGGTGATTGAAAAGTTAGAAGTTATCTGGATGGCTTCGCCATTCCAACTTTTAAAGGTCTGATGCATCTGTTATATCAAAGCACAGGAGAGGCTTTCCACAAAAGTGTGGTTTCATTATCCAGCAGCTAATCTGCCCATTAAAGTTACTGAAGTGACTGAAAGTCACACAGATTAAGTATTGATAAGTTATTCACTGGAAATTTAGGACACCTATCTTCTTCCATTTTCTGTTTCTCAGGCACTGACTTACTTTCTAAGGCTGGAATGAGATACTGCATGGGCAATAGTACTACCATTTCATTGACTTCACAGAGATAAGGCCTCTTGTTGGACTGTGGAGGGCATACATAGCAGAGGTGTTAACAAAGGCTAGCTAACACCACAATGTGATTAGTACATGGAGCATGTCACAGATTCTACTAAGTTTAAAAGTTGAGAGCCATACCTCGTGCCCTGTGATATGTGTGAGACCAGAAATGGCAGCTGCAATGGCATCATATCCACTTCTCTGAACCATTGGACCAGTCTGTCCATAACCTAAAACAGAAAGACAGCAAACAGTAATTCAACCAAGGACAAGTGCAACAAACACTTCTTACTATTGAAAATAAAAAGGAACCAATATTTTTCATCAGCTTCTGTTCACAAGTTGTCCAGACTGTAAAACCACTTAATGCTATTTTATTTTACTTATTCCTGGCACAATGTTAAGATTAATTTGTCTGTTTCTATCCTGTGCAGGTGATGCATTTGATCTTAATTTTGGACAGATTTGGTATCTCCACTTTACTTCATCATGCCTTCCAAAAAACACTATGAAATTTTCATTGAGATCCTCCTGGATCGGCTGAAGAGGTTGCCAAATACAAAATTCAGTATGACCTACCTGGCAGGTACTATCATCTGTCAATCACAATACAGGCAAACAAATAAAGGCTGAAATTAGAGACCATTACAATACTACTGTGCCTGTATAATGCAAAGAGCCAAGGCTAACTTCCTTTTGCTCTTTCTTTCACAGAACTAGCGAACACCACCACACTAAGTGGAAGTCAACAGGGAAGCTTCTCCTGGAGAAGCTGGCAGCCTGTGGTTTGGACAGGTACAAACTTTGTTGGTAAAGAACTGGCTGGAGGACCAGGCCCAGAGAGGTGCTGCATGGAGTTAAATCCAGCTAGCGACCGGTCACAGGTGGTGTTTTCCCCAGGCATTGGTACTGGGGCCTGCCCTGTTTAATATCTTTACTGATGACCTAGACAAAGGGATTGAGTGACCTTAAGTAAGTTTGCAGATGACACTGAGCAGTGAGGAAGTGTCTGCTGGGGTAGCAAGGCCCTTCAGAGAGATCTGGATAGGCTGGATCACTGGGCTGAAGCCAATGGGACAAAGTTCATTCAACAGGACCAAGTGCCGGGTCCTGCACTTTGGCCACAACAACCCCAGGCAACGCTACAGGCTTGGGGCAGAGAGGCTGGAAGACTGCGTAGAGGAAGCAGACCTGGGAGTATTGGTGGAAGCTTGGCTGAACATGAGCCAGCAGTGTGCCCAGGTGGCCAAAAAGGCCAACGGCATCCTGGTTTGCATCAGAAATAGTGTTGCCAGCAGGAGCAAGGAGCAAGTTCGGTTTTGGGTTCCTCTCTACACTAAAGGCACTGAGGTCCTGGAGCATGTCCAGAAAAGAGCAACAAAGCTGGTGAGGAGTCTGGAGCACAAACCGCAGAAGAAATGGCTGAGGGAACTAGGATTGTTTAGTCTGGAGATGAGAAGGCTTAACAGAGACATTATTGCTCTCTACAACTACCTGAAAGGAAGTTGTGGAAAGGTTGTAGCCAGTCTCTTCTCCCAGATAAACAGCAATAGGGCCAGAGAGAATGGCCTCAAGTTGTACCAGGGGAGGTTCAGGTCGGGCATTAGGAAATATTTCTTCTCTGAAAGAGTGCTCAAGTGCTGGAACAGGCTGCCCAGGGAAGTGGTTGAACCACCACTGATGGAGGTCTTCAAAAAAACATTTTGAATAGATGTTTACATTTATTATTACATTAATACAACATTTAGATGTTGCATTAAGGTACCTGGTTTAGTGGGGAAATACTGGTAGTAGGTAGACGGTTGGACTAGATGGTCTTGGAAGTCTTTTTCAACCTTGGTGTTTCTATGATTCTATGAAGCAAAAGTATTTGAATTCTATTATTTAAACTAATACAAACTGTCAAAGCCCTTACAAGTCAGAGATTTAAGTTTCTACTCCTTAAAGAGGTAGCAAATTCAAAAGTTTTCTCCTGCTTTCTTTTCTCTTTTCAGAAATCTCTAGCAGAAATACCCTAATTAAAGGAGCAGTTAGGAGCTGTTACAGTCAAGACCGTTACTATGGCTAGCACTTGTAATACAAAGTTTCTATAATACTCTGATCTGTGAAGACAGCATAAAACTAAATAGATAGATAGATAGACAGATAGCTAGATCATCATGTATTACAAGAAAAAAACCTCTCAGTCTCCCAAATTCCTTTCATTTATTCTCTCTAAATAACACTCTGGTAGCCTGCTTGGCAGATGTGACAGTCAAGGTTGGGTTTATTGCTCACAGAACAAAATAAAAAGTTGTTACACATAAGGGCAGCCATCTTCAATTCCTCCATTTGGATCAATGTTATTTAGTACAAAATTCATAAGCAGCTTCTAAAATACACTGCAAGATATTAATGATCACTTCTGAACTGCAGTTGAAGTACTGTGTTACTCCAATTACTACTCATTAATTCATACCAAGCAAAACAATATCCAACAAATAAATTGATTTCCATCATTGTGCTATAGAATACCTAATTATCTGCTAGGACATTTTTCTGGGACATCTGGGAGCCAAGGAGGCTAAGGAGGAGCTCAGCTTCTATGCTCAGTGTTACAAGGAACATCAGCATACTAAAGCCAGCAAATGGACTTTATCAACAAAGCCACAAAACAAATATTTCAGAAGACAGGATTCACAACTTTCTTACATTCAAATCTCCAGCTCATTGACTTCAATAATCACAAAAGAGAAGCCAAAACTACTAGTTTATCCAGTGTTATTAAAAATCGTTCCTTTGACAATGGCTGACTAGAAGACCCTAAGGAGCAATTAGTGGCCTTTCCTCTCATATCAACACAGCTAAGTTCACACACACACACACAAAAAAAAAAAAAAAAAAAAAAAAAGTGTTTCAAGCACAACTCAACTTGCAAATAAAATATTGGGTCCACACAAAAATGCTCTGATGAGTGGCTCCAAGCATACATCGTTATCTCACTGAGATGAAATGGAGCATTAAAATCATTTAAATATGTGTGGGTCCACTTCAAAAACCAAATCTTGCTCAATAATAATAATAATAAAATACTCAAAACAGCTTTAATTGAATAGTGAAAAGCATATTGAAGTCAGTGAGAAATTATGCACTGGTCTGAGCTATTAACAAAGAAAAGTCATCTCAACACGTCTGCTCACACAAATGTTTTCATAAACAGAAAACATCTGAAAATTAAACATTTAGTACACAGACAGAAAATTTATGGTTTTTTGCACTGCTCTTCTGGCAATGACAAACATCCATCCTTTAAACACTAAATTGAGGAAAGGTGACAGGCAAAATTCCACACATTTTTCTAGCAGCATTTTAGAAATGCTGATTTTAAGTCCTTTTCCACATATGACAACAGCCTGATTTCAAGACAGAAAAAATTATTTGATGCCTCCCTGGTTAATTTCACAGGTCCTAGAGGGGTGTCTAATTGGCTTTCAAAAGTCACAAAAAATTAAAAAGGGAAGATACAAGACTCTGGTCTTGATTTGAAGTCTGAATTGAAAAAGCTAGTGTAGAGGCAAACATCTCTTGTAGATGGTGTGGCACAGAGCCTGTTAACTGCCTGGGAGAAAAAGAAGCCATCTAACTATAAAAGTTAAGTGACAAATAACTACTTCTAAAAATGAAAGGTCTTATTATCTAGACAAAAGAAAACAAAAGCTGAACATTATTGAGTAAACTACACAGGTCAACGGAGGAACCCTGTGCAGATGTATTAGCAATAACTAGGAATACAAGAAGAAAAGGCTTGAAAGAGAACACACGTTTAGAAAACCATTAGTCTAGTTGATAAATCTCACCATAACACACGTGTACATGTATACTTATATTAAAAAAAAACAAAACTCAATTTCTCAGCAAATTCATTTACCCCTACATCTTCCTGGATCTGTCCTGATCCTTCAGCTAAGTGATGAAGTTTTCCTTAAAACAAACAGAACGCGACCCAAGTATAAAGAATAAATTGAACTGGCTGCCTTGCATCAGCTTAGAGAAAACAAGGGCCCTTGTGGTATGCATGTACAAAGTGAAAGCCATAGCCCACCACAAGCAATCCTGTATTGCTCATGACATATCAGAAAATAATGGAGAAGTGACCTTAAAGGCTACACTTAGCATCCCCACTTATTCAGAACTTTCCTTGTGGCCGAAGACAAACCTGCAGTTGAAATGTTACAGTATATTTTTAACTAAGACTGCCTGAATCTCTTTTTGCTAGTATGCAGCACAGCATACATTGTATGGATATTCAAAACAAGATGTGCAACATGACAAAGGATACGTCCCCTCCCACATATACTGGAGCACACAACAATTGAAGTTGTATACAATAGCATATGAGATGGAAATGCAGCTAATATGGAATAATAATGCAGGCCATATCTGTTTCAAAATGCCTGAAGTTGCTTGAAGGGCAAATTGGCAATGCAGAGCAATAAGAGAAAGCTCAAGACGCCTAAAAATCTTTACACAGTAAATCTGAAAGACAATTAAAACGTATCAAAATAAACACCAAATTACTAAAACCCTCATCACAAGCTGGGGGCTTACAGAAGAAGTAACTACGTAAGACAGTAAAGGCAATTTTTTGAAGATTTATTTGGTGAAGGAAGTTCTCAGCAAGTAAGCTTCCTGTAAACACTGGCAATATATCAGCATTTCAGTTAGAGACAGAGGTGAGACTGCTGCCACTATCCGATTAAATTACAGCACATCACAGCAATTGCTGACAAATGGAAGGACTGAGTATTTGTAACAAGGAAGATCAGAGAGACCTAGCAAAATAAAGACACTCTTTATTGGGAAACAAAACTTATTAAAAGTTGGAGATACATTCCTGCCCTGATGAAATGGAGGCAATTAATGTGAAACAGAAGCCACCTCTGACATCATGAAGGTAATCATTCCTGCGATTAGTGTGCGGGTGCCATGTGAGGGCACTCAAGCTTTGAAACACACCACAGGGAAAATGATAATATTTACAGGCATCATACAGGGTTATTTTTTTCCCCAAATTTTTACATGTCATAACAAATGACTGCTACTTTATCCACTTAAGTACAATCAAAATTGTTAGAATATATTTATCACACAAGACACACTTTGCTTTGGAATCCACACTAAATAATTCTGTTCTGGGACAGAAATAAATATTATGAAGTGAGAAAGGTCAGGCTGAAGATTAGGAAAAATG